TCACAAGACACCACTAATATTGAGCAGAGGGGAGATGCAGATTGGACACATTGAAATGTACCTCGTCAGGATATATGGGATGAATAGAACACATGGTGTTGCAAATATATGGAGCTTAAGTATGCACTTAGCATATGGATAAAATAATTAACCAATTAAAGACTCCACGCTAAATGTGTGATAGAAGCTGTTACTAATAAAGGAACACAAGATAAGAGGTATGTAAAGAAGGACTCTTGATTGAAGTCTTGGATCTCCTCGTTTCAGCTAGCTGACATACTTAACTACCGAGAGCTCTTCTGTCACCAGTAACAGAGAGCACTTGTTCCCACTATGCTGTCCTACAGAAAAACGTTGAATAAAATCATTGGACAAGTAATTTTTTTCATCAATGCAACCGTGAGAAATGTCAGCAAAACCATCACAGGTAAAACAATTAGTATTTTTGTTTAGAGTTTGAAAAACATACAGTAATAAGATTTAAGGGCCACACTTTCAATCAAAACGTCAACTAGCTGTTCAAAACAAAGTGCAACTTCTACACTGTGCCCTGAAGAACCTGCACAGTGGTGAGCATTTGTCTTTCTACTCAGTTGTGAAATTCCAGGTTGAGATGAGAGAATCCGTAGGATCTTAAAAGAACATTGCAAGATGAATAGGGCATTGTCGTGGTATTATATTCAGTGTACACAAGCTGTAAAATAGATAAAGGGGAAATGCATTCCCTAAGGCCCCAAAGTTAGTGAATGTTCTTTTATTACTTTACATCTTCCAGGCATTTTCAAAAAAAAAAAAAAAATTAACTAATTACTGCTCACAGTACCCAGGAGGCAGAATGAAGCCACAAATAGCATTTGAAGTAAAAACCTGAGGTCATGCAAAATTTGTCTCATTTGATGTTTCCTTTTAAACCTGAAACTCCAAATCCATGGACGTTTTGAGTGAACATGAATCTTTCTGGTATATTGAAATATAAGAAACTAACATTCCTAAGTGAAAACAAGGGGCAATTTATAAGGTTTATTGGGTTTTGCTTTGTTTAAATCCAGAAGAAAACCTGGAGAGGAACGTATTTGTGTATCAGGTATTAACTTGGTAAAGAACGCTGACAAAGGCCATTGTGAAACATGAGTTTCTTCACTACACTTTAGCAAGATACTTAGGACTCCGAAGTAATGAAGAATTACTACAGGTTATTAAGGGCAGTATGAAACAAAATTGTTGTTACTTCTGCTGTGGAGATCACAAATGGACACACGTTGGTGGCAGGTGTGGGGAGTGTTTTTGGCTGCCTTCACCTACAAAAACAAAAAATCACTCTCCAGTCCTAGTGAATGGCAGCATCGGCGGGTTATGAAGTGTTTCATATAAACGTTTTGTAAGAGGGGTTTATAGATCTCGGTGGAGAAGCCAGCCCTAGGCCGTGTGTGTTGAGAACAACAAAGTGGAAGGAAACCAGGCCCTTTAGGCCCCGTGTCATGGAGGGGGGGGGGGGGGGGTAAAAAAGGTTTTCAGGGATGGTGTGCGTGTAGAGGAAACAGAGGGAAGGGGCAGGACGCGGCCTCGCAGCACCTCTGACTTCAAAAAAAAAAAAAAAAAAAAAAGAAAGGAAGCCGTTTGGCGGCGGGAGGCAGCGCGCTGAGGGGAAGAGCCGGCGCGCGTGGCGGGGAGGCGGCGCGGAGGGAGGGCAGGCCGGCTGCGGGAAGCGGGGCTCCGCGCTGGGACTGGTTCCTTCGCAGCCATTTTCCGTCCAACCAAACAGCCGATTTGCGGAGGGAGCCAACCAGGGCCGCACTGGAGGTTTGTGCCTGGCTCCGGCCAATGATTGGTAACCGGTTCCACTGCAGGCTCGAATGAAATGTCCGTCTCCCTCCCCGGGCCCCGGCGCTGCCGCCGCCGCTGCTGCCGCTGCCAGCGGGGACCAGGAAGTGGGGGGCGAGCTCAGCCCCGGGGAGCCGCGGCCGCTTTGTGCACGGAGGAGCTGGGGGGGAGCCGAGCCGGGAGGCGAAGCGAAGCGAGGCGGGCGGGGAGCAGCAGCAGCAGGAGGAGGAGGAGGCGGCGGTGGTGGGGAAGAAGAAGAAGAAGGGAGGAGGGGGGCTCAGCGCGGCCGCCCCCCCCGCTGCCCTCTCTCTATCCGCGGGAGGCGCCCCCCCCTCCACCCTCCCGGCTCCATTTTGTGTCCGAGGAGGAGGAGGAGGTGGAGGAGGAGGAGGCGGGGACGGCCCCGGGGCCCCGCTGCCCGGCGGGGGGCGGCTTTGTGGTGGTGGTGGCGGCGGCCCCGCCGTGCCCGCTCCCTTCCCTTCTTCCTTTCCTTTCCCTTCCCCTCCCCGAGCCCCCCGGTGTTGAGGGGGTCGCGGCCCCGCCACCACGCCCACGGCGTTGGGGCTGCCCCGAAATTGGGGAGGCTGTGGGGGTGTGGGGAGCCCCCACGAAGCTCCACGGGGAGCGTGGGGGGCCGAAACGCTGGGCTGAGGGGCTGTGGGGGGGTGTGCAGGGGGTTTGGGCAGGAGGGTTTCGTCCTCCTGCCCCAGCGCTGCTGCAGTGTTGAAGGTCAGGATGCGAGGTCCAGCAGGGCGCCAGGCGGGGGGGTCAGCCAGGAACACGCGTGGCAGGTGGCGGAGATGGGCAGAGCGAGGTGCCCGGCTCCCCGGCCGTGATCCCGTCCTGAAGCTGCAGCCTGGTGGTCCCCGAAGGAAGAGCTCCGTGTAGGTTACTCGCAGGGAATCACGCTGGAAAGGGAAAGAGCCACGTGCTCTGATAATGTTTCCGCAGCTCTTGGGATGCGCGGGGATGAAGGAAACGTATCGCGGGTCCCGCTGGAAGCGTAATGCTGAAAGGATGCAAAACCAGGCAAATCCCAGCTCTGCCAGGTCCATTGGGACTTAGCCAAAAAGCTTGGGTTTTGTAAAGAGTTGTCGTATAAAAGTTACCTAGTGGGCTTGGATTGGTTTGGGGGGGGTGGCAAAATAATTGCTGACAATGACCTGAACTTTTCTAGGCAGGCAGGGAAGTGAAAATATGAATTTCAGCCCTTGCCTGCCTTGCAATACATTGTTTGATTTGGATAGACATTATTGTCAAATTAAAAACAAACCACAACAGAAAAGCATTGCTGCTTTCTCAAAAGGAGCCCGGGCAATAGTGGCAAAATGGAAGGATCTGCTTTGGGTGTTATTCACAATCTGGCTTTAATTGGCTAGAGAAATGGAGAAATGGTGTTTATGCTTAATCATTAGCATAGCGTTTTTAAACAGCAAGCTTAGCGATTACAGTTGTTTGTTTTTTTTAATTTGCTTTTGTGGCCTATGGCATGACAGCTCAATGTAAAGGAAGGATCCATGTGTAATTCTCTGGGAGATCCACGATGGTTTAATCTGAATCATTATTTATGAGGTCTGCGTGAGTTCCTTGTGCTCTGCATTGAGCAGGTGATTATATATGGTCTTGGCTGTTATTGTGTACAGCCATGAAGTTACGTTTGAAAGAAGCCAAGGAGACTGGATATGACTCTTTAGGCTTTAATAATTGACAATTACAGCAGTTCAAAGTTCAATAGAGAACCTCCTATTTGTGGTAATAATTACATGAAGGGAGGGAGGCAGTGTACAGAATTTGAGAGGAAAACGAAGGCAGTCCAAGATACTGTGAAGACAGGAAACACGAAACCCTATCAAACTGTTTTGAAGTTACACCTTTTATTAAAAAAAAAAAAAAAAAAAAGGTGGGGGAACACTTGCAGAAATGTCAACTGAAAAGAGACTTAAAATGATACTTTAGAAAAATGTAGTGTTTGGGAATTAATATTTTAGTGGCAGGATGCTCAGAAAAAGTGCAAAATATGCCACTGTACACACATACTGATGACCTTTTATAAATAACATTGATAGAATAAAATGAAGTGTCAACAGTTTCAATGATTTTGCCTGAAAAAAGTGGCCTGTCCTGAAATAGCGTTGTGAAACTGTTACTTGCCCTGTTGCTTGAGAGGAATAAATTATCCTTGACACTTACTAGAGATAATACCACAATGAAGGAAAAAACATAGTCAACTTACAAATGTTGGGCAATTTCTAAAATAAAAATGATTTATGGATTGCTGTTTTAGTAAACAGATGAGCTTAGCTTTTCACCAGAGATGCTAGGAAAGCACCAAAAAATTAATATGGAAACATTACAGGGCCCTTACGGTCAGTGCTGCAGCAGGAGGGAGCTGGGGCTGTGTCTCTTCATCACTGTCACCCTGCTTTGGCTTCTGCAAAAAAAAGCCACCTAAATTCCCTTGTTCATTAGAGGTTGTCTCCAGCTTCTCTCTCTCCTCTCTCTGCCAGAAATGAAGTCATGGATGGTCAGTCAGCTTCTCTGTAGCACCGATCCAGTTGCGTTTGATGTAAAAATGTGTGTGTTGTTAGTCCAGCTGTATGTATTGCAACTAGCAGGGTGTCTGAGCAGCTCCTCAGCATGGGTAGGAGTCACTGCTTCCTAGAGCACAGCTGGATCCACGCTGCAGGGTGAGGGAGCCCATGGCCTGTGATATTAGGGCTGGTAAGATGGGCCATAAATGTGGCTGGCATCATCAGATGGGGATGGTGGAAGGGTGGAGAGGCCCTGCTTGGATTTCATAAGGGGGAGGATTCCTTCCTGTGGTCCAGGGGAAGGAGCTTGGTGCAGGCTAACAAGTGTTAGTGAAGCTGTTGGGTTCTCTCGGCGTCAATCTGGCACTCCTGAGGCTGTGAGAGATTAGGGGAGCTGGAGATTGAGAGAGACGGCGCGGCATCTGTTTGTGTTCCGGGCACGCGCCAAGGGGTTTTATCTTTACGTTTCTGTGGATCTGCTGGAATGATGCCCTGTGCCCGCCAATGTGTTTCCCAGTCAGTGTTTTCTGCTGTAGGAGACAGTGCTTTGCTGCCAGGTGAGAACTCAGTGGAAAATCAAATTCTCCAGAAGTCACTGAAAATCAAAGGGAATTAATGCTGTATTTTCAATTTAGAAAGTCTTTCAGTATTTCGATGTAGCAGCAGCAAATGAAGGTACAGAAAGCCCAAGTAAAACTTTGTTGTCTCTGTTAGATGTTACGTACAGGCTTTCAGGCTTACATTTCCTGTGAGATAAGGGGTTGTGGCAAAACAAATCTACAACAGCTGAAGCGGTTACTACCTACAGCTTTAGTTACCATTTCTGTCCTGCTTCAGTGGCAGGAACAGCCACATGGCAAGTGCCAAGTGCTTCAGTTCTTTATGTACAATTTTCTTCTGTGGGACTCTTGTGGGACAGCAAATTTGGCAGAGTGGTGGTGTGCATGAATACCTCATTAAGTGCTTAGAAGACGAGACACACGGTTTCCCTTGAGAGACCAGGCTCACAAAGTGCTGTCAGGTAATTCGGAAGGCAAGACCTTCCCGTCTTTCATTCGGTTTTTGCCTCTTATGCTCATGTAAGTCTAAGACCCATTCTCACCTCAGTGCTCGCAGTTCTGGGCTTGCATTCTCGCCTCCTTACGATTTAGCTGAGCCACAGATACCAGTCTCTTAAGAGAGCTTTTAAGATTAAGCAGGATGCAAGATTTCCTTTAAGTAAGTGAGTTTTTTTTTTTTTTTTTTTCATTCAGTGTAGATATATTCTGGGAACTGTCTGAGTTGTCGGCAGCTGACAGAAGCATATTTTTTAAGCATCCCCCAGAAAACTTTCTACCAGATGGCAGTGTAAACCTGTATGTGCACTCGCTTGCAGCTTATCATTGAGTTTTCTTTGATGCCCTTGATCAGGAGTGTTTCCCTTTCAACATATTTCTGGGGTTGCTTTTCCTGGATCTGTTCATTTGTATCTTCTTGGTCCTCTCTAATAGAGATAAAGGTGGCATGAAAAAAAAATCAACTTTGTGCTGCTTCTGTGTTCAGATGCTTTTTGCCAACATAGAAACAATCTCAAGTTACACCAGGAGAGGTTTAGGTCAGCTATCAGGAATAATTTATTCACGGAGAGGGTGGTCAGGCATTGAACAGGCTGCCCAGGTGGAATCCCCAGCCCTGGAGGTCTTTAAGAGGTGTGTGGATGCAGTGCTCAGGGACATGGCTTAGCGGTGGGCTGGGTAGCTAGGTGGGTGGTTGGACTTCAGGATCTTAAGGGACTTTTCCAACCTAAATGATTCTACAGTTCCGTGACTTTTAAAACCCACACGTTGTCATTTCTGACATCCTTGGTTCTTGGTCTTGCTTCAGTCAGTGTGTGTATGTGTGGAGAAGCGTCAGTGATTTCCTTGTGCTGGAGGCGAAGGGTGAGCTACAAAATGGAAGTGCTTGTTACAAATGTGCGGTTTAGTTCACAAAACTGCAGTTTCGTGTAGTGCCTGCTACTGAGCAATGTGTTGGGAGCCCTCCTTCCTCATGTGATTCAGGTGGCCCCACAGATGCAGAGACACCACCTTGTATTAAAAAACATTGCAATTTCTGCATGCCAGAACTGCCACGGTGCAAAGGAGATCCATAATCTGCAAATAGTGTTTTTAAGAAAGTCGTGGCAGGTCCAAGGGCTGCTCTGAGATTACCCACCCACCCGGCCCCTTTCTGAACACGAATTTTAGGATTATATCTTCCAGGATTCTGTCTGTTTATGAAATTTAGCAGCTACTTCCATCCAAAGAAGTCACTCTTTTCCTACGAAGCCTGCCAGCTGAAGAATTGCTGTTTTTTTAGTCTCCTAGGCACTTCAGTTACTGCAGGCAGCATGTTGTTTCTATGCTACGTTGTATTGCATTTTCAGAGCAACTGTAGTGACAGTGGAAGGTTGTGCTTTTTGTTCTTTAGTTCTGATCATCTGAAGTATAAACTATAATACCTGAAGAAGCACCTGTGTGTTCTTTATGAAGTAAGTGGGATAGCAGTGGCCACATTTTTCGGCAAGGTCATGTTTGTGTCAAACTCTGAACTCAAAGAAATATTAGTAGGGTGACTGTACGGTGTATTAAGTGCAGTTGCTAAATTCAGATACCGTGATCTAGCATTGAATTAAAAACCAAAATAAAATCTGACTGCACTTCTCCCACAGAACTTGCTGGGGTTGGAGTAATGTGTAGGAATGCTGCTGCTTTTTGTAGAATCATTAAGGTTGGAAAAGCCCTCCAAGATCATCCAGTCCAACCAGCCCCTGCCACCAATGTCACCCACTAACCCATGTCCCCAGTGACCACGTCCAACCTTTCCTTGACCACTCCCAGGGATGGTGACTCCCACCACGTCCCAGTGCCTGACTGCTCTTTCTGAGGAGAAATGTCTCCTCATTTCCAACCTAAACCTCCCCTGGTGCAACTTGAGGCCATTCCCTCTAGTCCTGTCACTAGTTACCTGTGAGAAGAGGCCAACCCACAGCTCCCCATACCTTCCTCTCAGGTAGCTGCAGAGAGCAATAAGAGCTCTCTGAGCCTCCCTGAGCCTCCTCCTCCCCAGACTAAACACCCCCAGTTCCCTCAGCCGCTCCTCACAGGACTTGTGCTCCAGGCCCTTCACCAGCTTCCTAGCCCGTCTCTGGACACGCTCCAGGGCCTCAGTGTCCTTCTTGTACTGAGGGGCCCAAAACTTTTCAGCATGAAGCCAGTCCAGCAGTGGATCAGGCTCCTGGGGCGGTTGGGCCCTCTCCATCCATGGTGGTCTTTGAGACACAACTGGACGAAGCCCTGAGCAACCCACCCTGAGCCCAGAGCTGACCCTGCTTTGAGCAGGCTGGAGACCTCCTGAGTCCCTTCCAGCTGGAATTTCCCCGGTGATCCAGCCAAATTGTCCCGTGATCCTGGATTAGCACCTGGCCCTGCCAGGTGTTACACTGCCCCAAGGTTGTCCTGGCAGCTGAAAACCTTTCTTGCAGTAATAGCCACAGAAGTAATTTCAGGAGATAGTAGGCTGTCCGTGCCTGTTTGCTTTATCGGAGACAGATCTGCCTTTTTCTTTTGCAAGCCTTTTCCTTTCAGTTTTGCTGATCAAATTGCTGGTTTTGATTGGTAATGGTGATAAGCAGCAGAAAATTCTCACTAATTATCAGATGACACATATTATAAGTAGAAATGGAAACGTGGACACAGAAGAGAATAAAAGTAAATACGGATCTTGGAGGATGCATTAATCTAATGAGGTCAAAGCTGCCAAGAGATGTAGGAGGCTTTTAGAAGAGACTCAAACAGGAATTGTCTTTTGAAGGCCACTGGAGCTAATGAAAGCGCGTTGGTTCCCTAATGTTATGGGGGCTTGGCTTCAGATGGGTATGTGTGGAGAAGCTTTAGTGTTCACCTAGTGCTGGATGCTAAGGGTAACGTACAAAATGCAAGTGCCTGCAGAATGGGAGAGCAGACACAAGTGAATTGTCACATCACTGCAGAAGCTTGAAGAATATTGCAGTCAGAAGAAGACAACGTTTTAGAAGATACGGTTCATCGAAAACCAAAAAAAGAAAGGGACGGGGGTGGAGGGGAACCTCACGGCATTTAAAATAGAGCTGGGGCTGAATAAAACTCAAAGCTTAAAGTTTTTGGAGTCCATAATTTGGAGTTAAATTCAGAGCTGAAACAGAACAAGACTACCAGAAAATCCGAAATTAATTTTGGAAGCAGCTTTTGGGATTTAGCAGACTGCAGAGCGTAACCACTCCAGATTGAGGAAGGAAAAGTGACACAACTGTTTTAAGGAAGGGTGATGTCAGTTTTCATGTTCTTGATGCTCAGGATTGCCATATCCTTGCATTGTCATTACAGTGAGCTGAGTAAGCAAACTCTAAGCCCTTTGGAAAATTGAGAATCAACGTTAAGCAAAGAGCCTGCAGTGTGCAGACGGAGTGAATTGGCACGGCAGCTGGCACACGGAAAGCTGAAGTATAAAGCACTGCCCTCCCTTTGGGCAAAATCATTTTACAAATGCCCATCAAAAACGACCAGAAGTGCCTTAAAAGAAGCAGCAGGTGCGTGTGTGCAGCATTCAGTATGGTGAAGAAGAGGTAGAAGAGCTTTCCCTTGAAACAGTGCCAAGGCCACCTCCAGTGGCACCATTGCCATGAATGTGAGCAGCACTCAGGTTACTTGCACATCTGTGGCCACGCGTGGCACCGGATGCTGCTTCAGAGCTTGAAAGCAAAAGCCCAGCCCTTGTGGCCACAGGCAAAGTTCAGATTTGAGAGAGGCTGCATTACTCATGTTTCTGGTAGGTGCAAAAATAGCACGAGGTTGCCTCCCCCCACTTTCAGGCAACTGGAGGCAGGTGAGCTGCGGGGGCTCGGCAACAACAAAATCCTTCACTTTCCACCTCTCCCTCCTGGGACAGAGGTGGTTCCCCAAGGACAGGAGGGGTACCTGCATCTCGTGGGGATGGCGTGGGGTGCCAAACGGGGGTGGCAGAGCTGACTGTCTAGGAGCAGGTGAGCAGCAGAGCGTTAGTAGACTTGTCAAATGCTATCCACAGCCAAGAAAATCTGGAGCAAAGGTGTCTGTAAACGCACTCAGAAATATCTTTGAATCTGTGAGCCAATGTTGAAAGAGATCTGGATGTGCTAGGAGCCCTTTCTCCATCCGTAATTTTTTGCATTGTTTCCCCTCTCCAAAAGCAGCATCATTACAATCTTATGTATTTGAACCCAAACCACAAAAACCTGATATCTGGGAAGTATGGGAGCTAAATGCTCTGGAAAAGTTTCTTTTTTAATACGCTAATTTTCAAGACATCTGCAACTGGAAAAAAGACAAGATTGCTCAAGTTTTAAGAGACTCAAATTCAGACTTGTACTTGGCACCACTAAAATAACCCCTCTGAAAGCAGAGCCGTTGTCTGCCACGGTTTCACATTGGTCTGAGCTTCCTACTGAGCGCCTGGTGGTAGTGCTTGAGAAATTTCATTATTTCTGTAGAAAAGCAAATGTGATACGGTAACTGGCTGCCTGCGCAGAAGCATTCACTGTGGTGTATCCGAGCATTGTGTCCTGTGACAAAATGGGGATGCAGCAGGCAGTGATGTACTGGGATAAAAAGGGATACAAACTAAAGGGATACAAACTTTTTTAAAGGGATACAAACTTTTACTCATTTACAAAGTAAATTTGTTCCCAAATTGTGGGACTTAGCAACAAATAACTGGGATAGAAGGACAGGAAGGGCAGGTGCATCTCCTGGACCCCTCTGGCTGAAATGTGGTCAGTGCCTCCTGGGACAAAGGCAGCAGGGAAGGGAGCCTGTCTCTTGGCATCCCTCCTTCTCCTAGTATTTAAATCCCACACTGAACTGTGCCCAGTTTGTGAAGCCTGAAGGAGAAGAATTCTTGTTGGCTGCCACGTAGGAACATTGTGAGAGGAGGAAAAATGAGGAGCGAGGAAGGACAGAAGCTGGGAAAGCAAAGGCAAACATGACTCAAAAGACACCCGGGAGTGACTCCTGCCTCAGGAAGGATGAGGATGGGGAGTTGGTCCTGAGGTCTGGCTAGGAAAAGTTGGTCAGCTTGAGAAAAGCTGCTTGGGCGATGGAAAGCAAAGGGTGCGCTCTGTGTAAGAACTGTAGGTAACACATTTGGTGAACTGGGGTTAGGTTTTGAGGGCTGTTCAGAGAAGCAGATGCCTTGACCTGTTCTGGTCAGCCTGTCATGGCAACCGCACAAGTTGCTATCTGGATTTGTGGTGTGTGAACCAAATGTTCCTGTGCACGGCCTGTGCCTTCAGCTGAATTTCTGGGCAGGTTTCACAAAGCAATTTCATTATTTTCACTGTCAGAAAAGCAGCTAACAATTTGCCTGTGACACTGTGTTCTGCAGACTTCAGACTCACAGCTGAAATTCAGCTGGGACTTGAAGAATAATGTCAAAAGCATCTTGTACTGCTGTACGAGTAGTCTTAGGTGGCCTTACTACTGGAAAAATAATGCAACTCTTTATAATGAAACTTTTTGTTGTTACTTTGCAAGGTAAGGGGAGCAAAACTACCTTTAAGCACTCCACTTGTTAGCGTGGTCTTGCAGTTTAGTCTGATTGCCTGTGGCTTTGCATTTTCATCTCCATAGGTGCTTGGCCCTGATACCTGATCTGGGAATGGGCAGTAGTTTGTGACAAAGAAAAAGTTACTAGGAAGTGCTAACCTTTGTTTTAATGGAATGTATGAACCTACCTCTCCTTTAGTTAAGTTCCTTTAACTTCTCATTTTTGCATGAATGAGAGAAATAGCTGCAATAATTCTTTAGTATTTTGCATCCAAAGGACTGATCAAAACCAAAACAATGAGTAAAGCTCAGCACCAATGAGTGTGCTGTTCCCAAATAACAAAATACTTAAAGCTCTGTAAAAACTGGTCTCATAAGCTTCTTAAAGTGTGGTTTTTCAGCAATAGCTGCCCTTCCGGCACAGCAACCATACCTGAAAGCATTGCTTCTTCTGGTTTTAGATGGACGGTGATAGCTCCACGACGGATGCTTCTCAGTTAGGAATTGCTGGAGATTACATTGGTGGCAGTCACTATGTGATACAGCCTCACGATGGTAAGAAATGCACCAGTACTGTTTCTCTCTGTGTATAATTTTCTTCCACCTCTTGTACGGTTTTCTGCTGTCAGTTCTCAAGCTAAGTATTTGCAGCTGTTTGTATTCATAATGCTTCACCGTATAATGCATTTTTCCTGTAATCTAAAGGTGAGTTTTAGATTTATCAACATTGATACTGTGTCCGTGGGGGTGGTGACAAAACAAAAAAAAGCACAACTCGATCTTTTAAGAAAGGATTTTTATTTTGATGTGACATTAAGAATGCTTGGTTTTCAGCAGCCCCATAGATTTCTGTGCATTGTAAGATACATATGATATTGAACACCCATAAAGATACCCTGATGTCACATCTGTTGCTTTTTGTGGCTATTTCTACAATGTTAATACACTGGTCTTTCAAAAATGATTAATCTTTCAGTGTAATATTTTATGCTTGATTAATTATTGCCTGTTGTCTATCAAACACGATTTCTGCTAACTTTCCTTTTCTTCATTAGACACAGAGGACAGCATGAATGATCATGAAGATACAAATGGGTCAAAAGAGAGTTTTAGAGAACAAGATATCTATCTTCCAATTGCAAATGTTGCAAGGATAATGAAAAACGCTATACCCCAAACAGGAAAGGTAATGTCCTTATCTGGTAAAGAAAGTGTATTAATGAGTTTTACTCCTTCTGAGTGCACTTAAGCTGGTAGCACAACATTCCCAAATGATCCTTGTTTATTGGAGGAAAGCCTTCAAAATACATAAAATCTGTCCACTTTTCCTAGGGTTCTGAAAGCTTTTTATAATTTCCGTAATTACAAGATCTTCAGCTCCTGAGAGTGCGCTTCATAGGGCTTTCAAGGGCATTTTTTTTTCCAAGATGTGTTCTCTGAAATTGTCATAACAAGGCAGACTTGGTGAAAATCCCATGTTGGCAAGAACACTTTCTATGTAATTCTCTCCTACAAAATTCAATCTTGTGCTTTGTTTGAGTTGTTTAAAATTTGGAATAAGTGAAATATAGTAGGGGAAATAAAAATCTATTTCTCATCGTGAAGGAAAGCAAATGGTTAGTCATCCGTTGCCTGAATTTTTACATGTCCAAATACCAAAATGACCTAAGAAGCCTGCCTTATATCATGTAGCAAGTAAAGCCAGATATTGAAAGACTTATTTCTTCTAAGAACAGACCTTTTAAATCAATTTTAAGCTAAGACTGATTATAAGTGTTTGAATGTTCTACCAGTTGATCTTAAAACTTTGCAGGACTGCTATTACTTGCCATTTGTCTATTGTATTCCAGTATTACTTCTTGCCTAACTTTTTTTTTTTCTAGCTAAGGCTGCCTTTTTTCCTTTTTTTTTTTTTTTTTTTTTTTTTTGAGATCCCTTTAAATAGAAGGCAAAATTTTCTTGCATCTGCTTGTACTTCATAGTGTTTAGGGCTTTCTGGAGATCTGGGTGTTACATTTATATCTTTGCTGTGAAAATTTCTTCACTGGTCCATATTGTCATGAATTTTAGCAATCAAGATGAGATTTTTCTCAAGAATTTAGCATATGGGATGATGAGCTATCTTGAAAAATCAGGGAGGTCTTTGTGAAAAGCTGCAAGGGAAGCTGTTGGCTGATGAGTACTTCTAAAAATCTGGCTCTACTCCTCTGAAAATATCAGAGGAACTAGTGAAGATTCTACATATTGTTACTGCTTCATATAAAAAAAAAAAAAGGAAAATACAAACAGGTTCTTAACATGTGAAGAATAAGAATCTTAATTATTATAATCCTTCATTTGGCTCCTGTCAGCTTCCCAAGTAATCGTGAGTAATGGTTGCTGTTATTTTAGGTCAGGTAAATTACTTTTGTCCAGCTGAAAACCATAATCAAATTTATTTCGTTCTTGCCAGGGGCGTATGTTTCTTCAGTTGAACTCTCATTTGCAAAATTTATACCAGAATATTAAAGCACTAGAGAAGCTCACCGCTAGGCATATATTTTAGTCCCTTAATCCGGTCAGGATAAACATACTTGTCATTGCCAGGTTTGTGGGAATGTACTACAGTGGGGTTGGAGCTGCTGGGGGGGTTGGAGCTGCTGGGTCTATTGAAAGGAAGGTGAAAGTGGGCTGTGGTATTGTAATGAGCAGGTTGAAAGAGAAGTAGTAGGTAAGCAAATTAAGGCACAATATTGAGATGCATCTATATATAAAACCTTGTACAGAACACAATTATGAGTTCAGGAGACCCTGGCACTTGGTTGTTCTGATTGAAATAGTAAAACTTCAGTTAAAATCATGTTGCAGCTGTGTTTCCACAGAGCAGTGATGACATCCAGTGGTTCCCTTATACAGTTGTTGCCTAAATGGGTATCATTATCAGGCTTTGGGATGCTTCCTTTAGGATCTATTGCAACCTGCTGTTTTTTTTTTTTTTTTTTTAGTTTTTGTTCTGTTTTGTGTTTTTAGTTTTCTTTGGTCTTGATGAATCAATTTGTGACACTTTTTTTTTCTCCCTAGATTGCTAAGGATGCAAAAGAATGTGTGCAAGAGTGTGTAAGTGAATTCATCAGCTTTATAACGTCAGAAGCAAGTGAGAGGTGTCACCAAGAGAAAAGAAAGACCATTAATGGAGAAGATATTCTCTTTGCCATGTCTACCTTGGGATTTGATAGCTATGTTGAACCTTTGAAGTTATACCTCCAAAAATTTAGAGAGGTTGGTATATCCTTCAGTGTTTCCTCATTTATTTGACCTGCTTGTGTTTATTCTAAGCTCCACGTCATCATTGTGTAATGGCCACCTTGTATCTCACAGCTATTGTCAGGGACCAATTAGGACTACAGTGATGTTTTAAAATGTTCCAGAACCTAACAAGACAGGGGGAAAAAAAGGCATTTTGATTAGACTTGCTGATTCAAAGATGTTAGAGCTTTCAACTGAATAACTTTGTCTAATATATTGTTGGTAGTAAATCATTCTGTTCTTTAAAGGTGCCTATTAAGAATACTTAATTCGATCTTTGAGTTCAGTCAATAAAACTGTACTAGACAGCATCCTCTGAGGATCTGGCCTAATGCCTAGTGCTTTTCTGGGCTTCAGATATGCAAAAGAAAGTTTTTTTCTCATGTTGGAATACTTATTCGCATAAAAGGCTATCTGCTACAGTGGTGTTGTAATCTGTTTGTTTTTCTTTACTTTTTTCTTAGTTTGCTTTTGATACTTCGTACCTGATAGTTATGTGATCGAAGCACTTTTTCTTTATCCCTTCTCTAGCAGAAAGTGACTTATTTTTTTTCCTTTCAGAAATACGTATTTTTTTTAAAAAAAAGAAGTTGCTTCTGCTTGGAATTTTTGTTCTTTCCCCCTCCACCCCTCTTGCTGTTTGGAGACCAAAGGAAATGATGCTTTCTTCTTTACTTTGTATTCTGCTACCTCAGAATACCAGATTTAACCAAACAAATCAAATGCATTTTTATCCAATGACCTCCCTTCTTTATAAACCCAAATGAAGAAATTGTTCAGGGTTAAAATAATCATGGGAAGAAGAAAGAAAATAAGCTTGGTTTTACTGGCATGAGTTAGGCAGGGATGTCTGAATTAACAGTACTGTAGAAGACGTTCTTCAGGCTTTCTCTGTTCTGCAAATCAAAGTTTTTTTCAATTAATGGCACTAAGGCTCATTAGTGATATTCAATTTGCTGATAGCACTTAAAAATGATCTGGAAAGGGGAAGTTTAATGGTGGATTGTGAGAGGGTGTTTAACTGAGTAACAGGAGGTGAAATCTAAAAGTTGAAGCACTGCCGTCTGCTGTCTTTTTCTACTTCTCTATAGCAGTTACAGCACTTTGGATAGCACAGGCATGTGCATTAATTAGAAATGCAAGTGGTGCTGAGCTAGTTGCAGTTCTTCTGGAGAAGTCTGAAGTAGGTCTATTCTGCTCTTCTTCTGAGAGGTCTATTTTTTGCAGATGTATATACTGTAGTAGCAGATCATTGGGATTGGTTTTCAGCTAAGTAATGGTTTAGATGTTTTTTCCTATCAATTTTAAACATCCATTCCCTCCTCAGGGTACTGTATGAAATGCTGTTTTGAAGCTTATGCATTTATTCTCCATCAAACAGTCACAGAGAACACATTTATTACCTTTAATATTTTCCTGTGTATTCTTATGTAATAGAACCTCACAGTTGTACAACTGCATGCATATGACTAGGAGCCTTGGCTTTCTGTGCCGATACCCTTTCTGGCTCTAGTCCTTGCTGTGGGGGGAGAAATCCAATATCTTGGTTTTAAATGTCAACCCTTAGTTGTATGAGGATGGCGCTTGCATATTGTTGGTAAGCAAATGTTGCACACTCAGTAGTTCTGAGGTTCTGTGATTTCTTGCAAACATGCTGACTGCTGCTGGGTTACTGCAGATCTCTGACTTTGTGCAGCAGCTGAAAACCTTTTCTACTCAATCTCAATTTTTGAGTTTTTGTGTCTGAGGAGTATGGCTAAGATGAAAAACACCCTTCATGTATTCTCGTACTGTGCACAGTCTTAAATACAATAGTTTTGCAGGTCTTGGATTTCAAACTCCAGCTCAGCTTCCAAACCTTGGATAGAGGTCTTGGGTCCTTGAAACAATCTCACACCAACAATACTCTAATACAAATACTTTTTTTCTTCTCTCCAGGCAATGAAAGGAGAAAAGGGAATTGGGGGAACAGTTACAACTGGAGATGGCCTAAGTGAGGAGCTCACAGAGGAAGCATTTAGTAAGTAATACTCCTTAATTGATTTAATTATTGCTGTGGCTTTTCAAAAGATAGCATTTCCTTTAGACATCAGAACTCTTAACTGAGGAAGACATTCTGGACTGACCACTTGTGTTACATCCCCTGAGGCTTTCATTTGAGATGTCTGGAGTATACCCTGTGCCAAGATAAACTCTTCCCAGTCAGTAGAACTTACAGTCAGAATGAGCTAATACACTGGTAAATGCTGACATTCTAGTAATAGTTAATGTCAGCTCTGGAAGATTTTTAAATATATACATTAGGGACAGTATTTTTTTTCTACACATAAGCACGTATTGTAATAAAAGATGCAAACCTGAATTTTATCTTTTTTTTTTTTTTTTTTTTTAAATAGCTACACATTTAGGCTCCATTTCTTCAACTTGTAGGACTGTTGGGGACAAACTAAAGTAAACATCATGTGATGACCTGGGGATCTGGTCTTTCAGAAAGAGCCAGTGGAGAACATAATCTTCACAGAGTTCTAAAGCAATTAGTATTTCTTATGTTTTCAAAAGAACGAACAGAAAATATAGGGGAAGGAACATCATATGCATTCACTATAATTTTTCTTCCTTATGCTGTGAATTAAGGCCTGACACTTGCTGGGTCTCTGCTTTTTGGTTTTGTTGGTGCTGGATTCTTGCATAGCCTTCACCTTGTCTTTTACATGATAAGGTGGTACAGGAATTAAGAGGTGTGGCTTTTGTCATAGTTACTGGTGAGATCATTGGTACACTACAGAACTAGCAAAAATTCAAAGTCTGAGAACAGAGATGACCTACTCAGGTTCTGAAACAGAACACTTTGCTCCTAGCTTGATGACTTTAGCTATACAAAACAGTAGAGACTCTTATGCTCTCTCCTAGGTTGGAAGATAAATTCATAAAACTGACTGGAATTTAAGAATCTAAACCTAAATACTACAGGGGATTTGCAGAAAGCTTACCTTTTTTTTTTTTTTTTACTTTTTTTTTTTTTTAAATTTCCGATTGAAGATTAGGAAATGCAAATAGCAAACTCTTATCTGTACTCACTTACGTAATAGTTCTTGGTTCAGAAGTAGTAGGGTACCAACGAAACTACAGACCCAATTTATTTACCTTGGATATGTTGCTTGTAGTTCCTGGATTGCAGCTATTGGAGGTCTGTCCAGCTTGAAAGGTTGTCAAATCAATATATAGATACTGTTCTAAAAGCTGTATCTTGTATATGCTCTGGTCTGCTCTTTGTACATTTAAACTGCAGCTCAGGAGTTGAGGGGGAAAAATAGTTGGAATGTTTTGATTGTGTTTGCATCCAGTACCTTTTTTTGGACCAAGCGGTGAGTTCACTAAAAGTTTTTTCTTAAGGATGCTCGTGCTCTGCTTGGCCTGAGTACAATGCCCACCAGAAATTGGAAACCAGAAAAAAGGAATCCCATTCCATCTGTGGATGCTCTGACCCCTTAACAAATTTGATACGGCCCCCATTAAGTGGCAGAAGGCTGAAGATCTGCTCCTACCCCCTTTTCCAGGCCTGGGAGCCTCAGTGTGCTCTATGAAATAAGCGTTAACCTGCTGTGATTTGAAAAGAGCAGCTTTGGAAGAGAATACTAAGTCCTGGAAGGGTGCCAAGGGAGACATTGCAGTAGCAGATAACAGAAGACGAGGAAAAAAATATGTCTCTGAAGTAGCTGATTGTGTCGTGTGCTGCAGGCATTTCTCTCCGTGGAGGTGCAGCTATAGATCCCTTCAGGGTGATGGTCTTGCTGCAGCAGCAGCAGTAGTGAAAACTGTGTTACTGTAGCATAGCCTGAGCTCTTGGTCTTAGATCTTCACCAGAGGTTAATGCTGGGTCTCTGACCTGGCTGTTGGATGTGGAACTTGGGTTGAAGGGCACTAAGATTTTAGTCCTGCCCAAGCCATTGCTAACTCTGATCTTAATGAGTCTCTTAATGTGCAGCTTAAGTGTTTGAAAGATAATACGATGATGTTAAGCAAAACCAAGCATCAGCTTTCATATTAAAGCTGTTAGGATTATGCTGGGTTTTCAGATTTTTATGGGGTTTGCATCTTATTTGTCATAGTAACAGCCGTAATTCAGAACAGAAAAAAAAGTCCCTTTTTTGTCTCCTAGTGGAGAACGGTGTGCTATAGGAACTTACAGCTTGGAAGTTTTGCTGCTTTACTTCCAACTAACAATTGTAACGTGTATTTACTCTGAGTGTCAGAGAGCTTACCATATACGTTACTGTCAGGGTTTAACTTAGAGCATCACTCCCTGAATTTTCTCCCCAAATGCCAGAAGTGCTTTTTACTCAGTTCATTAGCCGTGTCTTTCCTCTGTGAAATTCAGAGCGCTGGTGTGGTACCCTGAAAGAAATGCTGAAGTCATCTGGCATAATGTCAGGTCTTTGGCTTTCAGTCAATATCTCTGCCAGTGCTTCTTTTTTATTTCTTTTCTTTTTTTTTCTTTTTTATTCATTGCCCACGTCTGTTCATCTCTACCACCTTTTGTGCTTCTTCCACATTCAGGTCCCTGTTCTTATAAAGAAGCATGACTTTTTCACTGGGTTTCTTATTCAGATATGTGCAGATTAAGTGATGAAAAATCAGATAATGGATTTGGATTCTGAAGTACTAATGGGAATAAGCTCATTGACACTTAACACTCAGTAACAAGCATGACTGAATGCAGTGTAGTATGTAGCTGTCCTGAGAGGAATTGCTCTGTAGTCCCAGAGTGGACCACAACTAAATGTTATTTAAGTGACAGATGCTACAAACAGGGCTCCACGTAGCCTACAGATCATTTCTAACTCTCTTTAAATGCTTTTCTTTCAGCTAATCAGTTGCCAGCAGGCTTAATAACTACAGACGGCCAACAGCAGAATGTTATGGTCTATACAACATCATACCAACAGGTACAGTATCCCGTCATCTGTTCTCCCTTCTGCTGCTAACATTCAAACGCTAGTTCAGCTGCCTTGTTCTGAAAACCAGAAATCAATGATTTAGTCTTTTGGTGGCTGTCATGACATTCCAACGCTCTGACAACTCGAGGCTGCTAACCATGGTGCAATTTCAAAAAAAGGTTACACTGAACGTAAGCTTCCGTTCTCTTTCCGTAGATCTCCGGTGTTCAACAAATTCAGTTCTCATGATTTGAAGACAACTTTGGATCTGGGAACATGAGACGCAGAAGCAGTGAAACTCTAACAAAAAGACAGTTTTAATGACTGGTGGAGAGATTTATCTCTTTGTATATTAAATAGCTGTAATGTAGCTACCTGAAGCTAGACTAATTGAGGTGTGAATTCTGACTCAAATCTTTTTCATGAATGATTTTAAAAAAACAAATTGGATTTTAAAGATATTAAAGTATTTTTGTTTTGTACAAGAGTTTGTTGCTCTGTATAACTCCTGTATGCATTGTATATTGCAATTTATTACTGTCAGAGATTTGTAGACAGTTTCTTATTTTCATATTGAATCATGTTACTTTTGTAATTCAGGTAAACAGCTGGGTTAATTCATGTTTACCCTTTGAATAAAAATGTAAGGGTAAAGTTCATTTTTGAATGCAAGTTGCCTTTATTATAAAGATTGAGTTGGTCTTGGTTATGTAACTTGTCTTGCATGACAACCTCAACTAACTTTAGATGTCAGTATATTTATTGAAATTTTGAAAGGGACTTTTTCTCATGAAACTAGCAGCTCAGAAGAATTGCTACAACTGTTTTTTTTATGTAACTTGAGAATTAAAATTTAATCAGAAACAAACAATGCTCTACTCCAGCTAGAGATTTAGAGCTTATCAACAGTGTTAATTAAAACACTGTTTGTGTATGATGCAGGTCTTTTTTTTTTTCTTTCAGTTGCATTAAGTCCTTAGACATACTTTGCTATGTTTAAGGCAGTCTTTGTGCTACTGAAATAACTTCCTTTTTATGTATGCTTTTTAGAATCCAAAACCTAGAAATTTGACGGTAGTGGGGGGCGGGAGGGGGGATTTTATAGTCCTTGTGGTAAAAGACCTCATTTTAACTTTTTACTGAAATGTTTTAAGGTTTCTTGCGAGACTGTGGGAACTCAAATGTGTTAGCAACTTTCTGTGTACAGGCTGCGTGTGTGTGTGTGTATGTGAGTGAGTGAAACTCGGACAAGCGATACAAATCTGAAATGAAAGACAGACTTCAAGTTTGCTGTCTCTTTTCTGGTTTTGCAATAAACTTTAGATAATGTAGTTCTGTAAATTTAGTGAGCTGTTCTTAGTAACATTGCTGTTCTTTAATAATTGGGTGGGTAATTTTGTTAGATGCCATTTCTTAGCCTGTTAGGATAGGGGTGGTGTTTTTAGTAATTATTTCATTTGGACTAAATTTTGGAACCTTTGGTATTTTTACTGTTTGCAGTTGACTGAAATGTAAAAATTATCTTTCCGTATACCTGACATTAATTTAAACAAACCATACCTTAAATCTATTGCCATATAATTTCTTGCTGGTTTTGTCTTTCACAAAAAAAACAAACAACAAACAAACCCACAAAACCGTTTAATAATGGAAAAATAGCTTCAACTAAGACGTCCCAGAAGCCTGAAATAGCCAGTTCTTTGTTACTCAAAAACTTCTATGTATGCGTGGATTTCAACAGTGCTTCTTACAAATCAGCATTATGCTGCCAGAGCCTCTGGAGGAGATCCAGCGTGTCCTGTAGCAGTCTGGGCAGATGTTCTGGGTTTTGTGGCAGTCTGTCATTCTTCAGCAGCTATGACTAAACGAATGGAGTTTTTCATTAAATATACAACTGAATAACACGATCAGTACAAGAGCCCCTTCTGTTTGTATTCTATTTATTTGAGGCCGTCATACCCTCTTCTCAATTGCACCCAAATCCGCAACGGAGAAAGCTGTGATTACAGCTAAGGAGGAGCTAGAGGTTTGGCAGCTGAACGGGCACAAAGGGAGGTAAGGTCATCTGTCTCATTTGTTTGACAGCAGCTATATTTTTCTCAATCTGCCTGCTCTTCTGTGAGTTAAGGTTTAAGTGTTTTCTGGAGTTTGTGGTTTATGTACCAGCATAGGTGCAAAAGAGCTGACAGTGGTTTGTTTGGCTTTTTCTGTATTCACTCCCACCCCACTCCTCCCCCAGGGCTGACTGACAAAACCCTTGTTTATTCACTTTTTGAAAAAAAAAAACATGTACAAGTAATAGTACAATACATTGTGTGGTTGCTTTCTGAAGCAAACTATTAAAGTTTGCAGGGTACTGTAGTGCTGGTAAAGCACACATGGTGCTATGCATGGAAATAACCGAGGGAATTTACCTAATTTATACTAGTCAGTGGTAGTTAGCACAGCCACTCAACCACTGTGAGTTTTTAATTTTGTTTAAAAAAAAACACATTCTCACATTCCTGTTTTTAAATGCACTGATCCTTTAAAAGTGGCTTAAATTAAAAATGAGAGTGACCATTCCCTGTTGTATCCCATCTGCTTCCACAAAACTGCTGCTATTTCCCTGAATGTTTTGTTTGACCTAACAACCCTGAATTGACTTTGAGTTAAGATAGCAGTGGCAGTTTGTGGTAAAACTTTGGAGAAAATTTACTCAAAATAGCATTGATGCTCAAACACCTAGCACAGTTTATAGACTTCGTTTCTGGATGACCAGGACCCTCCCATTTCCCCATTGACTGCGTAATCCAGGTTCACACCCTATCCGATGCTTCACAGCTGATACATGGCTTTCAGTGGCCAGCCTGTTATTTTTCAGATTTCTTTTGACTTTTTTTACTCTTTGAGGTGGCAATGTTATCTGGCTTATCTGGCTTGACACCCTGATTTTCACCTAATTGCTCTAAAGAGTCTGTCTGCATTGTTAAGGTTTCTTATCACTGCAAGCATATTTCAGCACCACATTCCTTCCCTCTAAACAATGTAACTGTGCAAAAACATTTTTGTTCCCACAGGTTTAATGGGATCCGAGGCTCTGCCTTTACCAGTGATGTTGATGTACGTATGCATCTTTATTGTTGTATTTATTCCTTGGCTCTGGTCTCTGCTGCATACTAAGATATACTAAGATACGTCTGGATGTTGTACTTAGGGAGCTGTGGCATGAGGCAGCACATCCTAAATATTAACTGACCCATGCTTATCTGCCCCCAAATCGGTATGAATGATGTGGGCTATACTTTAAGTAACTGTCTTCCTTGAAAGGCCACATAAATAGGGTGAATTAAGTCAGGTAAGTAGCTGCTCCCTACTGCAGAGTTTCACAACGCTGCCCACTAATGTGCTCTAAGCATCCGTAGGTGCAGAAGGATGGAAATTGATTTCTCTCTTGCCTTCAGCAGAAGGGGAAGCATATGGGCCACGGCACAGACACAGGAGGTGCAGAGAGCACAGCGGAGAGCTGAGGGCTACTATTTTCCCCACCACCTCGTTGTCATGATAAGAGCTGGCAGCAGCCTTGCTTATAGCTATAAAACTCTTCATTCTGTAGAGCTTTGGATGTGATTAATGTTCCAGTTAAGTCACGCAGACTTTCTGCTTCAACTATATTTACAGAGAGAAGATAACGTGCTTGTAAATCACGGCGTTCCCAAATTGTGCGAGCTAAACTTTTTTGACATTTAATTTGCACTGAATAAAGGAAAGGAAGTTTTTCAGTTAAACGTAAGTGGATTTTCTTAACGTTTGTAAATCAAAATCTTATATGCAGATTCTAGGATGAATAATGCTGTAGGGATGTTTAATGGAGTCCAAGGCCTCCAGGGGCAGAAGTTAAATATTGATAATGCAGACGTATTCCTGTTGCAAAAAGGTTTGGTGAAAAGAACAAGAGCAGTGGTGGGAGGATGCCTCTTGGCTGTGGTAGAGTTTAAGACATACCCAGTTAAAAGCAGGGATCCATTTCCCTCTTTGAAAATAAGAGAGACGGTTCTGGCATGATCATTCCCTTTCACCCTTCAAAATGCGGGGAAAAAAAAAAATTACACTTAAGCAACTGAAGGTTGATCTGTTTACCTATTGATTTGTGAAATTGGCGTGATGATGGACTGCATGCCACAGCTGACCCTCTGCATGTAAAAATTTCATGGAAAACTCTGTAGAAACTCAGTGCAAATTCCACTTGCGCTCACATCCAAGGCCAAATACCCCTGGGAATGAGTGCGGTTTGCTCGTATGCACAATAGTTTCCAAATTGGTGCCAGCTGCACCGAGCTTATTAAATTGCAGTCTCCAGCTCTGGCTGCAGAGGCAGCTACCCTGGTTTAGGAAACCCTCCAGGCACCCTGCCAGGGTCATTTCCTGGAATATCTTATTGCAGGAGGATCCATTTATCAGACACAGTGAGACACCTGATTTGCCTTTGTATGAAGGAAAGCTGCTGGGGGGTTATTTCTGCTGGGGAGAACAGCGTCCTTCAGGCTGAAAATTGCACGTGGGTGTGCCTGAGACTGAATGTGGCTGAGAATCGGAGACAACAGCTGACTTTAGGACAGCTCTGCCTGACAGGGTTTGGTTCTGGCTAACAAACTGCAGCATTTCGTGGCTCGGTACTCACCCCCAGAAGGCTCACAGCCGACCCCACCAGAGCTTGGGTCCTGTCAACGGAGAGGAGAGCACAGCGCCGACAGAAGGACTCCAGGATGCGCAGGTTTGTCCCTGGGCGTCCGTCTCCTCAGCCCTGGCCACGAAACCCAAACCCAGCCAGACGCCTGAGCTCCCCGCGTAACAAGACGCCGGGGAAAGCAATCTGGCGAGCAGAAAGCCGCCTGGAGCCAGGCGGTAGGAAAAGCTAAGTGCTGGGGGAGAAGGGAAGGGAGCCAGAAGTCTCACCTCAAGCCAGCTGGAAAGCGTTTGTGCCACAGGCTAGCAGGCTCCATCCTTTTGGGGTGGGAACACTGAGACCAGGGGCCTAGGGACCTGGTTCAGCCCTTGCTCTATTCAAAACCAGCAGCAGCCACCACATTTTTACAAATGAAGCAACTAAAAAGGCCTTTTTTTTCTTTCTTTCTTTTTTTTTTTTTTTTTTTTAACAGCTCAAAGCTGCCAGGCTGTGCTAGGTGGCTTGACACCATGTGCATAAAATCAGCCTGAAACCGACTGCTCCGGCTCATTTCTTGCTTTCAGAGCAGCCGTGGGCTGGGGGAGATGCCAGGCCAGCAGCAGCTGCAGGCACAGCAGAGCACACCAGGGCTCTGGGGTGCTGGGGGCGGGTTGCTGGTGAAAAACTGCAAAACCCACATCCAGGCCCAAGGGGCTGCAGGCTGGGGTGTCCAGCAAGCACCATGTAATATAATATATATAAAATACCATTTTAAGTTGTCTGCTAAGTGCCTGTGTTTTTTGATCTGGCCCAAAGCGTTTCTCTTGAGTGGGTGCACTGAGATCAAGCTCTGTACTCACCAGAAAAAGCCATATTGATGATAGTTGGCAGTTCTTTGTTGTCTGGCTTGAAGGCTCGCATCTTGCTTCAGAGGGCTTGGCAGCACCTTCCTGCAGCTTTATCTTTGTAACTTGCCAAAGGCGAGAGACTTAAAAGCACAGATGAGAGCTCTGTCTTTCAGGAGATGACCATCACTGCCACCCCAATACAAAACCTCACCAAAGGTGGCAAGGCCAATTTCCCAGTGCTTGTGGGGAGCAGGCTCCATCTGAAGACAGAGTAAGTAGATGGAAGGACTAGCAAGAGACTGTCTACAAAGGCAACTTTTAAGAAGAATTAGCTCCTCCTGAGAGATTATGAGTTGCTGTTGGAGCCAGACCTCCAGCTAACACCCTGCTCTTCAATTTACAGCGAGCCCTGGCTTTGGGAGCCCACCGTTTCTCATGCTGATGCTCTACCCTGTTGGCTCTCCTGGGTGGGCTTTGTCCATGCCTTCTGCTCCCCTGTAATCTGCCAGTAGTGGTATTTTAAGTGTCAACTCCACCAACCAGCTTATACGCCCAGTTAGCATTACTACCACTGGCTTGCAGGGAAGTCCTCCCAAGGCCTGCAGTGGCTGTAGGAGACATCAGACACTGTCCATTTAGTTTCACTCAAGCTTCAACTCTCTACTTAGGATTCCTTAAAATGGAAGAAGGTGCATCAACTCAAGCAGCAGATATTGCAAGTCCCATTCTCACAGAGCCCTTACAGTTATTAGTTACCAAGAAAATCTGCTAATGACTGAGATCAGGCTACTGGCCATGAATCTGCATGGCCCTGCCCGTGAAGCATCCTTTAACAGCTGCCTGCTCTTTTTTGGTTTGAACCTTCTGACTGAGGATAGTACTTTGTATTTATTACCTTGTGTACTTTACCTTTGGTATCTAGAGTCCATTCCTTAATAGAAAGTGAACATAGATTAAAGACAGGGCAGTATTTGTTAATTTTCTCAACTAAGGATGTTAATACTTTTCATTAATGTTGTTATCCATTAATACTGTTTAATCTGTATAAAAATGTTCATTTCTTGACTGAAGTCAGCAGCGACAAAACAAAGCCCAAGCCACCGATAAACTGCAGTTCTTCTCTTATATCTCTCACGGACAGCATTTCAAGATGGATGAACACACGGGGATTTACATACAGAATAAAAATCTGCAGGACCATGCAAAGTAACATTAGTGTCCAGAAGAAATCAATTATTATTATTGCTATTTAATATAAACAACTTTCCAGATCAGAATAAAATAAAACCCAGTAGATCTAGCACATGGCTAGAATTAGAATGGCCTTCAACAGGTTCTGATACAGATCCATCTTATTAAAAAGTTCGTTGATTTGAAATAAAATTGAATCCAACTACCCACTGAAAAATTGCACAGCCACGGCTGAAATAAATCCCCCAACATGCTGCTGAAGAGAAGCTATTTAATAAACATGGGAAAATCAAGCTGAATGAGAGCAGATGACTTGCACAGAACTGTGACAGATCACTGGTAGCAGGTAGATAAATGGCACTCGCGTTTCCTAAGCTGTTCAAGCAAACAGTGCACTCATCTGGCTGGGGCTTTCCCTGTGGTACCCCTCCATACAAAGCAACACAAAAGCTGCAGGCACTCACCTGCTTCCCATGGAGCCCACTCCATGATGAAGTGCTGGTTTATTTCAGAAGTCCCCTCCCTACATGCAAAACACAATAAAGAAATAATTACAAAATCACTGCTAGAAATAAGTATTTGAGAAATGTAATGCCACTTGAAGTTATGAGCGACTACTCACACCTACACATTTTTTGTTAAAGGGGAACTACCCCAAAAGGCAGTTGGAGTTCCTGGAGCGGGAATAAAAGTGTTTTTGCACAGAGTTACACTGTTTAAAGGTAAGGAATATGACATTGAAATATACCTGCAGTGATAAGAAAGCTTAGCAGGTGACCTTGTAAAATGCAGACAACCGAGCTCCTTAGAGCAATTAGGCAAAAATCAGGGTGTCAAGGCATGTAAGTGAAGAAGCCACCTCAAACACGAAAAAAAGTCAGAAGAAATTTGAAAATTAACAGGCTGGCAGCTGAAGGCCGTGTATTGTCTGTGAAGCACTGGACAGGTTGTGAACCCGGATAACCCAGTAAATGGGGAAACAGGGGAGGGGCACGGTCATTGAGAAATAAAATCTATGAACTGTGCTGTGTGCCCAGGAGGTGTGCTCCTCTTGTGGGACGCCCCCCACTGCAATCGCCAATAAAAATGCTGCTTCACTGAGATCCTCCCCTGAGCCTGTTACTGGCTACGGCGTTTCTCACACTGGCAAAAGGCATTTACCTGAGAGAAGGAAGGGATTACAGGAGGGCACACACAAACCCGGGGACCTGGTGGTCGTGAACCTCCTCCTATGGCACACACCCAGCACATCTATTTTAAGAACCTCTTGGAAATATTTTTTTGATGACTTTCATGTGTGGCTAGCAGCATTTTATAATTCTGCCAGACACAGAAATAACTCTCCCGACACTACTTACCATTTGGGGCACACTGAAAAAGCCTTCTTCCCTTTCTCTCTTTGAAGATCCCGTATCCGAGCTTTAATTTCCACTTTAAAGAGCTGCTCTACCAACTTAGGAATTATGTCTCACATTAAAAGCAGATGCTCGTAAGAAGCAAAGGCTTCCTCAATAAAACAATGACAGCAAAACAAAACTGGTCCCAATCAAGTAGATTATTTTGGGGGAGTATAAAACCAACAAGCACTGTGAAGTACCTCGGGCTTCTGAGGGACTTTGGGAACCGAGCAAGGAGGAGGCACGCTCTGCCTTTGTAGATGCTGAGTTTTTGTAATGTAACATTAGGCACACATGGTTGGGTTGGGTTGGGTTGGGCATATGGAGCCAACAGAAATCTCTTGGGCCTTCCTCCTGTCCCAGCCCTCCTCTTCCTTCCTCTTTGTGGAGCTGTTTAGCTCCAAAAAATCTCATAACATCCATTTAAATTCAGATTAAAAAAAACGGGTGCCTAGAGCAAGCCCATCCTCCTACGTTCAGCTGACTTCTGGAAACTGAAATAAAAGGGAACTCAACTCAGCTTCAGATCAATGGAAAAATGCACCAAAGTTTTTCGCAACTACTACCAGGAGGAGGAACACATCAACTGCTCGGGCAATACCAGCAGCTCATGCTCCACCCTTGCCGTGGGAATCTCAGAAAGCTCCAGCGACAGAACTGGAAGCCACAGAATAACAGCCCTGCCCTTTGGCTCACTAGAAAATGTTATAAAAATACACTAGAAACCAGTTAACACTACGAGGGAAAAAACAACGATAGCTCTGAACGGGTTTTAGGATAAATTCACATAGAAAATCCAAGTCAGCCTTAATGAGAAAATAAGTTACATTCGGAGAATTTTAGAAAGAAAAAAAAAAAAAAAAAAAAAAAAACCCATGTGGGAATTCTTCATTGATTGCTTAGGATGTCCCATTTGCTATTCACTAATGCAAGGATCACAAACAATTGAAAATAAAACATTTACCCTTTTATAATAGCTGGGAGCACAACAAGGGAATCAATTTGGAGCGGACAGCTTTTAGTAGTTTGTCATGTGAAGTCTCTCAAAGAGGTCCAGAAACCACTCTGGAGCCCTTTCAGTCCACTCGATCTCCTCCTCTGCTTTTAGAAGCAAATCTTACATCCTTCCCCAGGAGACTCCCATGGTCAACTGCAGCTTGAGCTCAGCAGCTTGCCCTGAGACCCCAACATTTGAGCAGAGCTGGAAGCTGGAAGCCTTCTGAGCGCACTCAATGCTCATTCAAGTCCCTTCCTTTTAACAACCTGTAACAAAGCAACACCAAACTCTTTGCCAATCACTTTGAACAGCACCAACAGAGCTCTTCTATAGACAAGGAAAGCAATTTTAAACATTCCTGTCCCAGACTGGGGCCAGCAAGCTGCATGGCACAAAGGCACGGAAGGGGGCAGAGAACAGGTGAGGAGTGCAGCAATTGCAGCAGAAGGGGTGGTGGGAAACTGGGGAACCACAACTAGGGAAGAAAAAAGCAACCAGACAAACCATCACGCAACCAAGAAGTCACTTGGGAAGCACTTTTTATGGAAGAGCAGTACTCAGTATTACATGGCTCATCAAGAAGCCCTCTTATTTCTCCCCAAGACAAACACACTTGCTCTCTTCTCTGTATTATCCCCTTGGAAGAAGCAGACGTACACTTCACTGTTTACAACGCATTTGATAGGACAACCACTTTATTACAAAGAACAAACAATGCTTTGAAATAAGACTGATCAACTTTAATTGTACAAAATGTCAGTTTCCTTGTAGAGGTCATTAAGTAACAGGCTGTAAGACTAAGTTCACGTCAAATTCGCTATCCTGAAATATCAGATAACAACAGTAATACTTATTATATCTTCAGAATTTATGGCATGATCATGTGCTCTACTCCAAACTACATTCAAAAGATATTGCTATAATTACTTTGAAAACACAAAGTGTAGGTTATCGTTCACTCTATTTCCACTTCCACAAGAACCTTCTCAAGGTGAAGTTGTAGCAGTGCCTGCCGTAACCGGCACAACTGTCCTGCA